AAGTTAAATAAAATGGTAAAGAAACATTCAAAATTTTTATGAAATAAATGAAACGAAACAATAATAGGAATAAGAAGAACAAGAGAAAGAAGAATAAAAGGGAAGAATTGTATTATTATCTCAATATGAGTGGTGTACAATGTTTTCTCTGAACTCCATATTTATAAGCATAAGGAGTAGATATCTTATAGAAATCTAACTCTAATTGATATTAAAGTCCTAACAATAAAGTATATAAAAACCCTATCTTATAGATAGAGATAAAAGATAGAGATAGACATCCATATAAATAAATATTCATAATACCCCTTTAGATGTCTATGAAGATAATGTGCCTCGTTAAAACATTACTAAGATAAAAACCCTGTGGGAAAAAAACCTCAATGAAGGAAAAAGAGTACACGTATCTTTAATACATATAACATGTTGCCTCATTAAAAACCTTACCAGGAAAACCTAGTGGGACAAAACCTTGGTTAAGGAAAAAGAGCACAACGCGTATTTACTCCCCCTCATAATAATATCACATAAGATCTTTGAGTATTACAACTCAATCTTGAATATAATATTCAAATGTTCAAGTAAATGATATATCAATGAATAAATCTTTTCAAATTACTACTTGAAAAGATTCTTCAAATATTTATATTATTCTTCTTTCGAAGACCATGAGGGAGGAAACTTAAAAAAATGTTTGCTTTTATTTATCATCTTTTCAACTTATCTAATTTAAGTACTCGATCTATATGTCGAGACAAAACTTGATTTCAAGATTCTTTATCTCAAATATTCTTTAAACAATCAAGATACTTTGAAACTCTTCAGAAAATATATTTTAAAGCCTTTCAGGAGTTTCAATTCAAAGTAAACATTATCATAATTTGATCTTGATGTCTTTATAGAACATATGAGCAAGTAGGCTCTCAGCGATTCAGATATACCATATACACTAATAATGATCCATTCTATCTAAATATTTAAGCAAATGTATTTGTACAAATTTCCAAAAAGTTTTTAAAATGTTTCAGGCATTTTAGTCCTTCAAGATAAATATCACTACATATGGATCCACGAATCATTAAATGTGTCCTTTAACTTTAACACAATTATTAGGCGCGGAACAGGGGTCGCGTCTTAGCTTTATCTGATATAATTATGTAAGGCGCGGTGTAGGTACCGCGTCTTGTAGTTTTTCCTGGCTATAAATACCCTTTCCCCAGCGTAACTCCTCACATCTCCTCTCGATTAGAAAATAATTAATACAACAATCCAACAATCTTCTCATATTTAATTCAATGTTCGTGCGAGTTTTCGTTATAAGTTAATTTTGTGATAATTTTTTTATTATACTTATTGTTTATTATGATTATTTGAAAAAATATTATACTAATTGTTGTCAATTAATTTCTATGTTTATAAAATTAGAAAATGAGAATATACGTCGAAATAGTTTTGCGGTATAGGTAATAATATAAAATTATATTATTTAAATTATTTACGTTTATGTGTAAAAATTTTATTGTGTTATATTTTCGTTCATATATTATTTATTTAATCACATTGTTTCAGTTGTTTTTTTTGCATATATAATATTACCGCACTTTTAAACTCAAAGAATGACGCGGCTTTCAGCTATTGTTTATTATGATGGAGAAATTCGAGAAGATGAAACCGGCATTGTTTTCGTATCAAATGAGCGTGTTAAAATATCATTGAAGAGAAACATAACTCTTGAGGAGCTGATAACGAAGATTTCGAGGAAGATTCATGTTGGAAGTAGTAGAAGAATGTCGTCGTTGCAGTACAGATTTCCAACATCATTGTTGACATTAACTTATACATCGTTCGAACTTTCGAACAATGATGATGTTGAAATGATGGTTGAAGCTCAAAGTAATTATTCAGACGCCGATATTGAGATGTATGCAAATTTTATTCAAGTGCATGCTGTTGAGGTCAATCATTAAGCTCCCACTATGGGCTGGCTGAACAAGTTGATCAAGTTGATAGCCCGACAACAGTAATATGTAATGATTTTAATGCCATAATGGGGAGAGATTCATCCGCAACTCCTTACGATATGTACCGGGGTGGGTCGACGAACAATTCGTATGGCAACATTGCATCCAGTTCAAGGGGAATGCATTCATCTGCAAATCCCTTTGTCCTTAATATGAAGATGCTATCGACGCAACAATCTGTTCAGTTTCTATTTGACACGATGGCTTCAAGCTCCAGGGGGAGGCATTCGACTACGAGCTTTTTGATATGAATGTCGATATGCCTTTCAGTTCAAGGGAAAGGCGTGCAAGTAGTAGTTCTTCGACCTAAATATGGAGAGCATGGAGGAACCATCATCTCCACTAGAAGAACCGCTTCGTGAGCCTGGTACGGATGGTGCTGAGACTGGACTATTCATTCACCCAGAATCACCGCAATTCAACTCTGATGATGATGATAATGTGGATGAAGTTCCAGCAAATATGGAACAAACTGACCCTCCAGCACACATGTATGAAGCTGATTATGGTGCAATGTATGGGCCAGAATTTACGGATATGCCTCATCTTGGTGACTATGGATATTACTCATCAATAAATAATGGTGAGTTATATTTAGGCATGGACTTTTCAAGCAAAGAAGAAGTGATGATGGCTATAAAAAATTACAATATCTGTAATTTTGTTCAATCGAGAGTCGATCGCTCCACGACAGAAAAATATGTATGCTACAGTGTCCGACACAAAAACGGATGCAATTGGATGGTTCGCGTATCGAAGAGGAAGAGTAAAACAACAGATGGGAACTAACAGTATACAACGGTCCTTACACATGTTGTGCTGAGGGGTCAACCAAGATCATCCCAACTTAGACTCTGAAGTGATATGCCAAGCCATCATGCCCATGGTAAAAGCAAGCTCTCATATAGTTGTTGTTGTGTTGATTTCAGCTATACAATCGCAGTATGGGTACACTGTCTCCTATAAAAAATCTTGGTTGGCAAAACAAAATGCCATTGTCAAACTTCATGGCGAATGGGATGCATCTTACAACGAACTTCCAGGCTGGTTTAGGCTGGTGCGGAGGTTGAATCCTGGGATAATTATGGACTTCGAAACCTCCTATGCATACCATAATGATCGATTTCTCCGCGATCGATGCCAATTCTACCGGGTTTTTTGGACTTACCCACAGTGCGTTAATGCTGTCAAATACTGCAAGCATGTGGTCCAGATCGACGGGACTTTATTGTATGGAAAATACAAGCAAGTTTTATTATTGGCAGTTGTCCAAGATGGCAATCGCAACATTCTTCCAGTTAATTTTGCTCTTGTCGAAGGAGAAGATACAAATTCTTGGGCTTTTTTCCTCCGAAATTTACGTGCACATGTTATCACGAGGGAAAAAATATGTGTCATTTCAGATCGCGGAGCTGGGATCAAAGCAGTAATGGATTCTTTGGGTCCAATGTGGAAACCACCCTTTGTCCAACATAGGTATTATCTCCGACACATTGCTGCGAATTACCATGGAAGATACAAGAAGAATGATGAGCGTCAATTACTTGTGCGCATGGGTAAGTGAAACTGATGTAGTTTGTTTTCTTTCGATCCTTTTGATCATGTTAGTAAATTATACATTTTTTGATCAGGTTACGAACTACTTCCTCGAATCTTTGAATCAATACTTCAAGATTTGCGGGCGAAGAACGAGGAAGGATATGATTACATCAGCCTCATCGATAAATAAATATGGACAAATGCATATGATGGTGGATATCGATATGAACACATGACGACCAACTTGGCAGAGGCAATCAATTCAACCTTAAAGGGTGCACGTCACTTACCTGTAGCGGCTTTGGTAAAGACTACATATTTTTGTTTAGGGGCACTTTTTGCGAAGCTCGGGGGACAAGCTCAAACCTGGATGCAAGGCGGTCATGTGTATCACCCTAGATTAGTTGCAGATATACATAAAAAAAATTACTGCATCAAATGGGATGTCTGTAACAAGTTTCTCTAGAAGGCATGAAATGTTTCGTGTCACAAAGTTGTCGCGACCTCTTCAAAGGATTGAAGTTGTGTCGTTAAGAGTAAATCTAAGGGATAGAACGTGCGACTGCGGGTTTTTTCAAGCTCTGAAATATCCATGCTCTCATGTGATAACACCTTGCTCGCATACACGTCAAGACTATAACCATTTTATGGATCACATATACCTACTATATGAAGTTTTTAAGGTATACAAATTTGAGTTCCCCCCATAGGTAATGACAAAGACCCTGATGAGGTTCAAGATTGGCTTCCGATTGTATCAAATCCGATTTTATTGAGGGAGCGTGGTCGTCCAAAAATCCAATTGAATTCATTGCGATATGGATATTCGAGAAAGATCTAGACAAGACAGAAGATGTGGGCATTGTAGAAACCCAGGACACACTAGAAAAACATGTCCACTTCTGTTGTCATCAAGTAACAATTGATGAGGAAATGATGTAGTTGTTTATCAATTAATAATTATTATACTTTAATTTGCATTTACTTCAAGTTAATGTTATTCGATAACGCTGATGAAGATTAAAAAAATGATACAATTATACGAGATTGGACGTTGGCGTTATATTAACAAATAACTGATATTAACGATACAATAAGTATTAAATGGTAAATGATAACCAAATTACAATAACTAATATTAAATGGTAATAAACAAAATTAAGCAAAATAAATTAACAAAAAGTCCACAAATTTATCAAAATAAATTAAAATAAATCCAACTATATTAACAAATTAAAGTAAGTATTAAATGATAAATAATAAAAAAATTACAATAAAAAAGTCCAATAAACAACTACAATAAAAAGTACTAAATACAAATATAATAAAAAAACAAAATCTATCGATGCCTGCGACACGAATGTGTTACGCAGGGCGGTGGTTGTCGGTCTCGAGGAGGATTTCTTCATATCACTAGTTGTGACTCCTCGCTGTCATCACCATCATCATCATCGTCGTCGTCCTCCTCGTCGTCGTCATTAGCAGCAAAATTTTGTTGACGAGGAGCTGATGACGATGAAGCACCTCCATAGAATAAGGACCCTGGAGGTGTATGACTGACTATCCCACCGGCCTGAAAACTAGGAAAACTCATAAAAACCAGACATCGCTGAGTGTGAAAACTGTACAGGAGGTGTTTGTGCTATGGCCATGGGTGATGAGGTTGAACCCGCTAAATATCCAGTATATGAACCCCAAGTCGGATCTACAAACATCGACCCATAATAGCCTCCAGGAGGGGTCATATAACTCTGTGAAGGTGGCGGCGGTGGGGTCATAAAACCAGGTGATGGTGGCGGCAACGGCATCGGTAAGGGAATGGCGGTGGCGGCATAACATATGGCTGCGGTATGTAAGTTGCTGTAGACGGTGGCTGCTGTGAAGGTCTTGCTGGTGCAGTTGAGGATGAACCGGAAGCACCTGCTCTCCGTCCACGAGTCAGGGGACGATGGTGTTGTGTCAGTGAACGTCTCTATCGACGTCATGGAAATGTCCGCCCTCGTACATCATCGGGAAGTAGAAACGGTTTCCTGTTTCTGTTGAACCACTCATAATAATCATCACCAACCGTCAAGTCATCAACATAAATGGGCTCTCTACGGGGAATGCACCGATGTCGATCTCCCATAACACGACCCACTCATGATGCCTCACCAGCCAATCTGTATCGGTCTTGCCGCGTCTATCTGTGGCATGCAAGTCGTCCATATTGTGAGGTGCTTCCGGAATTGGTTGAAAACAACCAAATTGTCGGAGCACGCGATCAGTGGAGTGCCACTCGATGGTCGCATAACATATCAAATGGACCATCACCATTCAAACATTTGATAGGCCCCTCAACTCAGGTTGGATCACCGTCCTCACATCATCATTAGAATATGACACCCATTCAACTAAAACAAATATATATAATTTTTATCAAAATAATAATCTAATTATATAACTATAATCTAAAATCAATTTTAAACATTTAAATTCATACCTATGTACCAGCCTTCTGATCGATGAGCACCCTAATTTTTTTTAAATCATCAGGTAGCTCCTGATGATTTTTCCTATCAGTAGACCACATATTCAAGAAAAAAAAATTATTATACGCTATATAAAATGATTAATATACGAAATCAGTTTTATAATTACCTCAAGAGTAGCAGAAATATGAATGTGTTCTTCATAACGGGACATAAAAAGGGCAATCGATACCATGTCCAAGACTGCAGCAGGAAGAGATATCCGCCGATAGCATTTCTCCTGTAGTCAGTGGCTCGACACATCTCCCTGTACAATAAAGCCAAAACTGCCGAGCCCCAACTGAGTGATCCATCCAGACGAAAGTCGACAAGATATCGCAACCACATACAGTGAACTTGGTTGCTCGATTTGTCCGACATCAACAACCCTCCTATCAGCTGCAGTATGCATGCCCGTGCATACATTTTAACTTCATCATCTGACGCGTCATCGCTCAACTCTCCAAAATTGGCATCTAACCAATTTAACGGTATCGACAACCGTTAAAACTTTCGGGACACGTCCTAGATTATCCCGACACAAAGCAGTCCAGGAACCCTGCGCTATCCCCGATATCACATCTCCATCCACCGGAAGCCCCAGGTGCATAGCAACATCCTCAAGTGTAATCGTGCACTCTCCGCACGGAAGATGGAATGTATGAGTCTCCGGCCTCCACTGCTCTACTAAGGCAGAAATAAGGTATGGTTCTATCTTACAATGACCATGATATCTACCTATGTAACTGAATCCACCTCTACTAAATACGGCAAGACACGGCTAGGTATCACTAACTTAAGATTCCTAATAAATGGATCTAATACACGGTCATTCTCTTAAAATTAAATAATTACAAAAATTAATTCTTAATCTAATAATCATGCATTAAATAAATCAACAAATAATTACTAATAATTTAAATTAAATTAAAACGTTAAAATGTTACGTATCAGCAAAGTGTCGAGATATATAATTTCATCCAAGCGAAGTAGATCGTCTTCAATTTTATATATGCAAAAAAATTAATTAAATAAAATATTAAATAAATTAAATACTTAAATAAATTAAATACAAAATATTAAAAATATAATAAAATATACCTTAGACAGAGATTATAAGAGTATTTGAGAGAAGTTGAGAGAATTTGATGTGATGAAAGTGATTGAAGATGAAGGTATTTATAGGAGACTGAAGTGTAAAACGTCGGGGAGGTTGATAATTATATCCAAGGCGCTCGCCTGACGCATGACAGATTCTGGGGTAAGGCGTGACATCAAATCAACGTAAAACATCTTTCTATAAAAAGATATTAGATCGATAAATATAATCTGAATGGTTTGGTGTCTGATCGACTGTTCAACGGTGATATATAGGAAATTCGCTTCTGGATCTGCCTCGATTGTTTTTTCTTTTTCTTCTTGCTTAAGCAGTCCCTCCGCTCTCCCCTTTACTGACGCCTCCTCTTGCTGCTGTACTTCTAACGGCGGTGGCCTCCTCCCTTTCTTTACTTCTTGTTTTACCATTCATTTGTTTTAATCCGACGCTTTGCCTTTTAGATTCGTCCTGCTCACGACGTTGTATAGGTCAGCTTGTCCTTTTTCTTGCTATTAATCTATAGATTTCTTATTTGGTTAGAATTTTTCTTCATTTTCGAAGTAATTCATTCAAATTTATATCTGGAGATCGTTTATTTCGTATATTTATTGATATTTCAGTAATTGAGTTTGAATGGGAAAAAAAACAATATCAAATCGGGTGCATATTGATTTTTTTATTTTATTTATGGCAATATGTCTGTTTACAATATAGGAATTGTTATAATTTAAATCTGATTTGGACTTGAATTCCAGTCGAAGTGTGAAAATGTCGGATCAAATCCCATCTCCAGCCCCAAGATCCGCCACGGATCTGTTCTCGGACCCGCTTGACTCTCACCCAATGTGGTTCAAGCCCTCTCTCTTCCTTTCCCCTGATTTCGACTCCGAATCGTACATTGCGGACCTCCGAACCTTTGTTCCATTTGACACCCTCCGATCTGAACTCCAGGCTCATCTCTCATCTCTCAACCATGAACTGATCGATCTCATCAACCGTGATTACGCCGACTTTGTAAACCTTTCCACCAAACTGGTCGATGTGGATTCTGCAGTGCTTCGGATGCGTGCTCCACTTCTTGAGCTCCGTGACAAGATGCAAGGCTTTAGGGGAGCTGTTGAGAGCTCACTTACCTCATTGAAGAACGGACTGAGCCAACGGGCTGAGGCTACTGCTGCCAGAGAGGTGCTGGAGCTGCTGCTTGACACTTTCATGTTGTTTCCAAGGTATTGCAGTTGTATACTTGATGATCTATTTCCATTTCAGTTTCTAATAGTTTTGATGTAAACCAACTCCTTTATTAGGTTGAAAAGCTTATAAAGGAGCTTCCTAGCGTGTCTTCAGATTTGTCGAATGGAGATGTTGATTCAATTCAAAAGAGTAATGCTTTGAACTCACATGTTGAGAATGGAACAACAAATATCAGAGAGACCCAAAGCATGCTTCTTGAGAGAATTGCCAGTGAGATGAATCGCCTCCACTTTTATATTGACCATGCACAGGTACCTCCCTTTCTTTTTAGTCTCAAATTTTATGTTGTAACTGCTGAAATATTTCACATCTAATTATGTAATTTCCTTTAGAATTTGTTTTCTGAATTTACTTTTATATTTTTTGTATTTATAGTAATGGAAATTTATTACAAAGTAACTTATTCTTTGATTCTCTATATCATAGAAAGAAGAATGTGCTTAAGAGTCGATATACAGCCAGTTTAGATATAAGTTTTTTGAAGAACATTGCATAAAACTTATTGGTCTAGAGTCCAACATCCTCTCCATATTCTTACAGTTAAAAAACTAGCACTATTTAGTATGGTTAATCAGATCATCAAAATCACTATTCTTTAGAAAATCCAGAACAACTTTGGTAACATCACCATTAACAGCATGCCAATAGTTTTGTAAAACATTTAATTCATACCATCAGGTCATGGCAATTTAGAAGGATGCATTTGAGTAAGAGCAGTGTGAAGTGTGAACCTCTTCATTAATAAACGCATGAGCCAAATGTTTTTTAAGCATAATGTATTATGTATATATGGCTCATATCAGCTATAAACATAGCATTCATATCAAATCTCACAACTTATAAGAATGGTTGACAATTAGGGTAATTTTGCTTCGTGGTGACTGACACTAAAATGATTTTACTAAAGTCGATATCATGTGCATTATGGATATGTACCTCATAATGATGTGACCAACAGCAGGTCAAAATCTTTTTTCTTGGGATGTAGAAATTCATAGAATATCTGTTTTCTATATTATGCAAATGCAGAACCTGCCTTTCGTTCAGAACATTGAGAAGAGGATTCTGAGTGCTAGCCAACTGTTAAATGCAAGCTTGGGACACTGTTTTGTTGATGGGCTGGAACACAGGGATGTCACTGCAATTTATAATTGCTTACGTGCTTATGCTGCTATCGATAACACAGGTAATGCAGAAGAAATTTTTCGCACAACCATTGTGGCTCCATTGATACAAAATGTTATTCCACATGGATCTTCTGGAGTTGTCGCTGGGGCATCTGGAGATGAACTTGAGAATGATTATGGACAAATTAAAAAGCTTGTTGAGAAGGATTTTAAGTTCCTACTGGAAATTGCTTCTGCAGGTACATATCTACTTGTTTCTATCCCATATCAATCCTATTAATACTGTGACTTAATCTAGTTTTTCATTGGGTCTTTACTATCATTTATATTGAATTTGGTGCTAGACATGTTTGTGTCCTGACAAGAATTTGTTTTGAGCTTGTGGAATATAGAAACCAGAGTTGTTAAAACCCATTGTCCATTTGGTGCATGATATCTGTCTTCTCATGGTCTTTGCATATCTAACTTCAGTTTGCTACATGTAAAGGCTGTTGAAGTTTTGTTATGGTTTTTTTTTTCCAGAAAATTCAGGATTACATTATTTGACTTCTTGGCAAATTCAATTCTGAAGGAGGCCTTAGAAGCCATCCAAAAGGGAAAGCCTGGTGCATTTTCTCCAGGAAGACCTAAGGAATTCCTCAAAAACTACAAATCAAGCCTAGATTTTGTGGCTTATCTTGAAGGTAGTCATCTGACTTTTTGTTTTCCATCTAAGACAAAAAATTTCATAAAGGATAATTTGGTAAAGAATTAAAGTGTCTAAATTAAAGTGTCTAAACTTTAGTCCATTTTATTATTTGTATATAAGAATTTTCCATTTTCAGGCTATTGCCCAACCAGAGCTGCTGTTACTAAATTTCGTGCAGCATCTTTTTATGTTGAATTCATGAAGCAGTGGAATGTTGGTGTTTATTTCTCGTTAAGGTATTGAGTGGAATGTAGATGTTTATTAATACAGTATCGTATTATTACTTAGATATGAACTGCTCTTGTTTTCAACTGCTTCAGGTTTCAAGAAATTGCAGGTGCTCTGGACTCTACACTTACAGCTCCTAGTATTGTTCTTGTCCAAAATTCTGGTTCTGGTGAAGAATATTCCCAGAACTTATCACTTAAACAAAGTGTTACTCTTTTGGATAGCTTGAGATCCTGCTGGAATGAAGAAGTTCTTGTCCTTTCTTGTTCTGACAAGTTTCTTCGCTTGTCCCTGCAACTGCTCTCAAGGTCATTCCTCAGATCAAATAGTTTTGAGTAGTCTAGATACACCGGCTATCATCATCTGATTGTATTTTGTGTGATAGATATTCAAATTGGTTGTCCTCTGGATTGGCTGCACGGAAGAAGGGTAGTGCTGGCTCCAACCCGGGATGTGAGTGGGCTCTTTCAGCTGTTCCAGATGATTTTGTTTATGTACGCCCATGTCTTTATTCTATTATGTTTCCAACTTAAATTCATTGAGCCTTATTTAACCCATAGATGTTTGATCAATGGTGTTCTTATGTTTGAGTTTTGAGATTTAAAATTTAGAGAATTGAAGGAAGAATTAAGAATTATTTTTGTTCGGGTACCTGAATGGGGAGATAAATATGGAGAAACTATTAGTTCTCCACTTATCCACTTGATTATTTCTAATCTAGAAATATCTAGAAAGAAATTAAAACTGGTAATTATACTTTCTTATAACTTTAAAATATATACCTAAATTTCTTTATTAAAAATGTGGGAAATAAGTAACGTAGTTATGTAATTATTAGGCATATACAGAGATGTGTTAATTGGAAGGCGGATAAGTTAGCTAAGCTAGGCATAGGGTAATTGGTTTGTATCTTGTATGGCTGGTTAGGTTGTTTTGCTTCTTTGAGGGATGGGTTTAGGTTTGTGGGTGTGTTGGTTGTAATAATCTGGTTGTGTATGCTTGGTGTACTTTTTATTTTAGCAATAAAATTATGAGGTACTCTTTTCCTCCTTCCAATGTCCGTTGAGATACTTATGTAGCTTGACGGTTATGAAGGGGTTTTTTGATGAGATCTCTTATTCTTATCAAAAAAAAAAAAATTCTACTTATAGGTTACTTTCATTCTCCAAGTTGAGCACCATATAAGTATATAATGTAGACTTGATTATTGTTTATCCAGACTTTTGAGCATATGTATGAACACACTCGTGCTTGCAGGTTATTCATGACATAAATTGTCTGTCCAAGGAGATTTCTGGTTCTTACCTTGATCATGTACTTCATGTTCTATCTTCATGCTCTGCTGAAGTCTGTGACCTCGTAAAGCAGAGCATTTTGTACTGTGGAAAATCATTGGATGATTTGTTACCCTTAGTTATCAACACAATTAAAGAGGCTTTAGTTCAGAAATCTGTCGAGGTAAGCAGTACAATGTTAACATTTAACTTGTTTGCACGATGGTTGTTACGGCGTGTGCCTAGGTCCTAAGCTGCCAAACAACGAAAGCATCCATACCCTTTCAAGTGAGGCACATGCCTGCTGTACATAGACATGTTTTTCTGTAAGGCAATAAATGCAAAAGGAGACCTTCTAACTGAAATTCTCTTGCGTTTGTTTATTTTTATTTTATTTTGCATTAGCCGTACATTTAATAGTAAAATTGAGTATAATATCAAACTCCATGCTCAATATGAAAACATACCTGATATCATAGACAAATCATGCATATTAGCAAAAAACGCTGAAAAAATAATTTTTGCATATTTGGTTGGATTTCTGAAACCCTTTGAATTTATTAACAAAATCATGTATCTTGAGTGTATTTTCTACACATCCACATTGCGCCTCGCCACTATGAGCACATTTCTTCTTTTTGTCTAGAGCCTTGAGTCACCATGTGCTATGAAATGACTGTGACAAGCTTTATGGGTTCAATTTTTTTTTTCATGCAATTTCATTATACTCGGTAATTTTTTGTTCATTCTTTGCTTATCTTAAATTCCACAGGAATTGAGACAGCTGAAGGGTATAACTGCAACTTACAGGATGACAAACAAACCTCTTCCTGTCAGACATTCACCTTATGTGGCAGGAGTATTGCGCCCATTGAAGGTATGTAATCTTTTAATATTTCCATCAAGACACACACACCCTTTCTCCACCTTTTTTACTTAAAGAAAAGAAAATAATCCAAGGAACATAAAATTGAAATACAAAATCTGATAGAAAATATATATATATATATATATATATATTTGCTTAGAAATATACAATTTTAGCCGCAGTCAGATTATTTACTTATTTGGCATGTATTTTCCATGGAGAATGTGTTTTATACTTTTACATCAAGTGTTTGCTGTCTGCTGCACACAATGGCAATCAGTGGATATTACTTTGTTTAATCAGCATTTTTCAATGCTTTCAGACTTTCCTGGATGGTGAACAAGCTAAAAAGTATTTGACAAGCAATGCGAGGAATAATGTACTGCTAGGTACTGCAACAGACATAACTACTCGCTATTATGAATTAGCTGCTGACCTCGTCAGTGTGGTTAGTATCACAAACAATTTCTTTCCCTGGTTTTTTTCTCTTTATATTAAACATGCTTTGAATAAAACCTTTAAATCGTCTTGTCCAGGCACGGAAGACAGAGTCTTCACTTCAAAGAATAAGGCAAGGTGCACAAAGACGGGCTGGGGCGAGCTCAGATATCTCGGATCATAATGTGTCCGATACTGACAAAATTTGCATGCAATTATTTCTTGATATTCAGGTGAGAATGACATCCTTAGAATTTGGAATCCTTCCCTCAATCCTGTCATTGAATATCTTATGCAGCTCGATTTTATTGTATTGAACTGTATACTGTTACCAGGAGTACGGGCGGAACCTTGCTGCCTTGGGAGTGGAAGCTGCCGGTATAGATGCATATCGATCCCTATGGCAGTTTGTCGCACCTGCAAATAGGCAGAATGAGATCAAGTTTTGAAATCAATATTGCATTGGCATCTGGTTGCTTCACATGGTAAAACATTTTCCCTGATCTTTAAGTAGATCTTATTGTCATTTTTCTTTGTGAAAAAGAAATTGGACGCCGTTGCTCTGCATATATTATATTTATTGTTGATTTTTTTTCTACAATAACATGAAAATTTGGACAAAAAACTTCTCAACATCTTAAAGGTATTTGATTAAGTTGTGTCGGATGAACAATGATCATTTTTTCATTCCCTTTCAGAGATCTCGAATTTGTCTCTACACTCTGCAGAGGAAAAAGAAAAGAGATAATAATATATAATCACCAAAAAGATTGAGCAACTTTGAAACTGTGATTCAGGAAACCATTTCAAGCGTCACAATATTCATCAGCCACACAATATGTGTTCAGATTTAGTGCTGGCAGAGGCTGCGGCAGAGACCAAAAGTCAAGAGAATGAGAGATTTGAAAAAATAGGGCAGCCTTGACATCTTTGCACTTAATTTCCTCGACGTTTACTTGTTTGCACTTTTCTTTATAACAGAATTAAACCCATAAGAAAAGGGGAGTTTCGATCCACCAATCAATCCATGTAATTCTTTTATGTTTTTACCTTCAGATTTTGAATGCATTTTTAGATCAAATCAAGTTTAGTCATGCAGCAGATTGAACCAAAAATGTCTTGAAGCCACCTGATATGAGCTCCTAACCGAGACCACAACATAGTTTAAACATAAATTGCGAGTTATGCAAAGGAAGCAAGCAAAAGAAATAAAAGCACTAAGGATAACATGTTCTACAATAAGTTTTGCAGATTTCACTTCAGTTTGCCCCCCCAAGGGACTAAATATGTGTACTTGAACCAACACATTTAACATACAAGAGTAGAATTAAAAGACTTGCCATAAATAACTAAATAAAACTCGAACAAAAGTTATATCCGTAGATGAATGTTGTACACCCGCCATTGAATTCCTATCCTTCTACATATGACACTATGGGTCATAAGTTGGTATGTGAACGTCATCATCCAAGGATAAAGAACAGTCTGTTATGTTTTAGGATCAGAAATAGAAGAATTTTAGGGATTTCAGAAATAGAGAGATTTTAGGTACAGAAAACGTTCTTCATTCATAAGATGAAAAAATCCTTAAAGGATTGGTACAAGTTATATATCTACAGTACCAGCTGTCCAAACAGAATCTAAAACAAAATAACCACCTATGCTGACTCACCATTCCCTCTTTTATCACCAGACTCTTCTAACAGACTCAAGCCCCATCTTAAAGGCCCAACAGTAATTAAAAGAGAATTAACCTATAGACCCATTAACCCCTCATATGCCTCAGCCGACTCTTCTAATTTCTTCAATTCCCAATTCTTCAGGTATCTCGATCCCTAGCCTTCCAGAGAAATCCCTAATTTCCTTCGAGTCTCCCCCAATTTCTGCTGTTTCTTCCCAACTCTTCCCTTCGCAATTTCCCCCAAATCAACACTATCAAACCCTAACCTTCCTGTCATCATAACAATACCCCCTTCTCTAGATGATTCTTGTCCCCAAGGATCGAACTGAGGAAATTGTTGTCTTAAAACTGTATAATCCTCCCAAGTTGCCTTTGTCTCTCCCATATTCGTCCACTGAATGAGCAGTTGAATGACTGCTCGATTCTGTCTTGTAATCACTCGCTGATCCAAAACAAGGGCTGGGTAAATCTTCAATTGTCCAGCCGGCGCGACCTCTGGAGGATCGATCGAGATAAGTCTTTTGTTCCCTACTTTCTTTTTAAGTAAACTCACGTGAAAAACTGGATGGATCTTCGAATTTGCTGGCAACTCTAGTTTATAAGCAAATTGACCAATTTTGTTTTATATCTTGTAGGGTCCAAAATAACGAGCAGCAAGCTTCAAATTTCTTCTGAGGGCCAGTGATGTTTTCTATATGGTTGAAGCTTCAGGTAAACTTCATCTCCAATTTGAAACTCCCTGTCTGTTCTATGCTTGTCACTCATCTGCTTCATTTTGTTAGAAGCTTTAAGTAATTGCTCTCGTAGTAGTAAATTTAACTGTTCCCTGTGTTGCATGACATCTTTCACTGCTTCCACCCTAGATTATGTTGTCCATGTCACATTAGGGGCTTTATACCCATATAAAGCTTCAAATGGTGTCATCTGTAGAGCAGAGTGGTAGTTAGTATTGTACCACCACTCAGCCTGAGCTAACCATTTGGACCAAGTCTTTGGTTTCAAGAAACACATACACCTCAAATACTGCTCCAAGCACTGATTCAACCTCTCTGTCTGGCCATCTGTCTCAGGATGATAGGCAGTACTAAATAATGTAGTTGACCCCAATTGCTTCATTAATTCTTGCCAAAACAGACCAGTAAAAGACTTGTCCCTATCAGAAATAGCCACCTTATGAGGACCATGTAATTTGTAAACCTGATCAAGATAAACTCTAGCAACCTCCACTACTGTATAGGGATGAGATAGTGGCATAAAATGAGCATATTTAGTGAATTTATCAATCACCACTAAAATGCAATTATACTTTGTTGAAGGTGGCAATCCTTCAATGAAGTCCATTGTAATCACTTCCCAAGCATTGTTTGGGACTGCAATAGGCTGTAACAACCCTGGCTTAGAAATATGTTCTATTTTAGTCCTCTGACAAATATCACACTACTGTATATGCTCCTGAACTTGAATTTTCATCCTTGGCCAGAAAAAATAAGACTTAATTTTCCGATAAGTAGCTTGAATTCCTGAGTGACCTCCTTGTGGTGAATCATGCAAAGCCACAATTATATTCTGCCTCAAATTCCTTTGCTGCCCACATAAATCCTATTTTTGAAATACAAGACTCCCTTCAGTAATTTCCAGTACTGTAATTGATCTGGATTAATAACCAGAATAGGTTTATTTTCTTGAGCTAGAGCATCTTCTTCATAACACTTTTCAATATCTTGTATCCAAGTAGGAGTTATAAAAGTAACTCCCATTTGATCAAATTCACCAGAATCCATTTGTTGTCTAGAGAGTGCATCTGCAGCTTTATTAGACTTACCCTTCCTGTACTGAATAATATAATCCAACCCCAATAACTTTGTAAGCCCTTTCCTCTGAATAGTTGTAGTTAACTTCTGATCAAGTAAATGTTTCAAGGACTCATGATCTGTTTTAATGACAAAAGAACCACTCTCTAGATAATGCCTCCAATGTGAAACTGCCATCAAAATGGCCAAATACTCCTTCTCATAAATGGATAGATCTGCATGCTTAGGACCCAAAGCTTTACTCAAATAGGCTATAGGTCTTCATGCTTGAGAAAGAACAGCCCCAATCCCTTTAGAACTCGCATCAGTTTCCAAAAAAAAATTCTGCTCAAAATTAGGCAAAGCCAAAACTGGAGCATTACACATAACTTCCTTTAACCTTTCAAAGGTTGTAATAGCTTCTTGAGACCAATAAAACCCATCCTTTTTCAACATATTTGTTAAAGGCTTACTCAGTTCCCCATATCCTCTGATGAATTTTTGTAGTATCCAGTTAAACCCAAAAATCCTCTTAAGGCTTTCAGATTTTTAGGCAAAGGCCACTGCTGCATGGCTTTAATTTTTGTAGGATCTGTAGCCACCCCATCAGCTGATATCAAATGCCCTAGATATTCCACTTACTGTTGTCCAAAGAAGCACTTACTTCTTTTAGCATATAACTTGTTTTCCAACAGCACCTCCAACACTGTTCTTAGGTGCTGTTTATGCTCTGCCAAGCTAGGACTGTAAACCAAGATATCATCAAAAAATACAAGAACAAATTTCCTTAGATATGCTCCAAACAAATCATTCATTAAAGCCTGAAAAGTAGCTGGAGCATTAGTAAGACCAAATGGCATTACTTTAAACTCATAGTGTCCTTGATGAGTCCTAAAAGCAGTCTTGTAAATATCTTCCTCATTGATTCTAATTTGCCAATATCCTGACCTCAAATCAATTTTTGAGAAGAAAACAGCCCCATTCAATTCATCTAACAAATCCTCCACTATAGGAATAGGAAACTTATTTTTAACTGTAGCAGAATTAAGTTTCCTATAATCCACACAAAATCTCCAAGTTCCATCTTTCTTTTTAATAAGTAAACATGGAGAAGCAAAAGGACTTTTACTCACCTGAATAATAGAAGAGGACAGCATTTCAGTAATATGTTTCTCAACTTCAGCCTTATGATGATGAGCAAATCTATAAGGTCTAAGGTTTACTGGTTGTGTTCCCTGTTTAAGGACAATTGCATGATCATGTTGTCTACTAGGAGGCATTCCTCTTGGTTCTTTAAAAAAACTTCTTTAAACTCTTCTAGTAGGTCTTCTAGTGGTAAAGGAATTTCACTGCCTTCTACTTCAGCACTTAACAAATAAATCTCTCCATTCAATTCAGTGTCCTTTTCTGCTAACTTCTGTAATTTGTCACCTGTGATAGATCTGATTAATGGTAGCTTCTGAGACCCTTTAATAACTACAGTTTCTTCATTCTTCTCAAAACTGATAGTTTTAGTTTTAAAATCCATCATTATAGGGCTGAATTCTTCCATCCAATCCACCCCCAAAACCATATCACTACCTCCCAAAGCTAATACTCTGAAGTCATGTTGAAAATCATAGCCTTGCATCTTCCAGCTCACCTTATTACTCCTAGCAGTACTGAACAGCTTCTCCCCATTAGCTACTGTGATGACTAATGGTTGGGTATGTACTAATTCAACCCCTTCCTTGGCCCATTTAGGAGTTACAAAACTATGGGTGCTGCCACTATCAATTAGCACATTAATAGGTTTTCCTCTGATAAAACCTTGGATTCTCAGGGTAGTATGCCCCACATTCCCTGTAATAGCATTAATAGAAATTTCCAGAGTCTCTTTAGCTTGATCTTCCCCCTATCTAATCTCTCATTCTACTAATTCTTGTTCAGCAGAATCAGTAGGTTCCTCTTCCTCCATACAGTTGAGCTGTCTCACTTTGCACTGATGTCCGGGAGCAAATTTTTCCCCACATTTAAAACACAAGTTATTGGCTCTTCTGTAATCCAATAAACTCTGTTTGTTACTAGTATTAGGAGGGGGCTGTCTTAGGCAAAAACCCCTTATTCCCACTGCTCTGTTGAATATTTAAGGGATTATAAGAAAAAATTTTATTAGCCACTTTATACTTCTTCCCTTCAATCTCATTAGCCAATTCATAAAGTTTTGCTTGCCTGTAAGCTTCAGATAACTTCTTTGGCTCTAACCCCTTCACCTTGTGCTTTAATTCTTCCTTGAGACCACTAATGAAGCTGGACACAAAATAAGCCTCCTCCAGATGCATGTTCTGTTGCAGTAAATAGGGTTTTAGCTCTTCAAATTTTTCTTGATATTCCTCCACACTCCCCTTCTGCATTAACTTATTGAATTCTTCAATAATATCAGAATAGTTTCTGTCCCCAAATCTGTGACACAAATCAGCCTCAAATTCCTGCCAAGTAACTCTATATTTCTGCAATATATAACCATCAAACCAGGTTTCAGCCTTCCCTACTAAGTACATAGCAGCTAATTCCAGTTTTTGCTCATTTGGAATTCC